AATTTTATAATAATGTTGGGCAAACACTAAAACTTTGGTTTTCTGACAACTTTAGTTCTGTACAGAATAAAGCTAGTGCCCTAAGTGCTTTTCTCATTCCCACCTGTGAAGTAGACATAATAACTACATTGTCAGCATATAGTAATGCTTGAATCGCACAATCAGCTAAAATAGGTGGGTGATGGGCTGAAACAGCAAGTGCTTGGATTATTGGATTTAAATATAGATTGAAAAGCAGTGGAGCTAATATGCAACCTTGTCTTACACCTCTGTAAGTTGGGTCTGCTTCCCTCCAGAAACTGATCCACAAACAAAGAAGACACAAGAGATGGACAGACATATCAGGGCTCTGTTAAAAAGAGACTGCACATATAATCCATTTGCTTGCAAGTACCAAGAAAGTCTATTCCATCATAAATATACAAGTTGCTACATATAGTATTAATTATTCTTTTAGTGGATGTGTTTATATTTTAGAGACTGTGAACACTTAATTAACTATTTGCCATATGCATAATATTTAGGATAACTCAAAGAAATAAGATGATCCACTTCCTCAGAATCATATGAACAATGCTATCCGGACTGTAAGGCTATCAGGATGAAGGAAGGAAGGGCTGAGTATGCAGCTTATCAATCTCTTTGAAAACAAAATCTCTGTAAAAAGCCAGAGGGGAAAAAAAAAATACAGAAATCAAGAAAAAAAATCAGCTATTCTGAAACTGAATCTGTTTCATTAAAGCAAAGAGTTTTAAACAGTATTAAAATAGGAGCAATAAAGAAACAGTTTAATTCAGCTATATCAAATAATGCTACAGAAATATAGCTAGAATGCAAACAGTGTGACTCAGTGACCAGATGATACCTATCAGTATCCTTTTTGGAGCCTCAAAGGTGGTACAACTAAATTTTTGCTCTCCTTTTAAGCATTTTTAAAAAAAAATTTGGGAAACTTGGAGGCTGTTAAGGGACTTAGGGCAGCAAACTTAAGACATTCATTTTCTCAGTAACCATCTCTAAGCCCAAATTAATTCTGGCCTTATTCATTGACCTTGACATGCTGCATAAACCTGGTGCAGCTGTCAAACAGAAGGAAATTATACATTCCTGATCTATGAATCAGGTCAAGTATTATGCCTTCAAGTACCTCTTGAAGTGAAGAGCACAATGTGAAATAGAATTTAAAGATAGTTCAATGTCTTGGGCTACCTGTTGTTACTCAACCAATTTTAGAGCTAAACATTTGTTTCCAATTTGAGTGGCTAATCCACATAAATACAGGTTAGTGGAATTGCTCCTAGTTGGTGCTTCCTGCCGGCAAGACTCATTAAAGAAATTTTTTTAAAGGCCACATGTTGCTTTTTTAGCATTATGTGCAATACCTGCAGACCAAGTCCTCTGTCTCTCAGCTAAGGTTCATTTAGGATAGCAACAAAGCTGAGATACCAGTTTTTATCCAGCACTGAATTAAATTAAGAGAAATTGAGAAGAAGTGGTCAAACAACATACTATATATCAGTCTATGACCAAAGCAACATGGGAAGTTTAAAAGGATTCTCAGACTATGCAGGGCAGGCTATTCAACACACCAACATTTCAAATCCACAAATCAATTTTCAGATATAAATTTCCCTCAAGTATTTAGGACAAGAAAACGTTGATATTTTGCTGCTGGGATCTTTAAAAAAAAAAAAAAGCCATTTTATTACAAGCTGGTGATAATAATAAGCAGCATATGAAACAAACTAATAAACACAGGGTCCATCCCCCTCCATGCTTTCTTTTGATTTCAGAATTATTATTCTATATTTGTATATAACAATATGTTTAACAAGCCCAATGCCATACCCAAGACAACCTCTTTGAGGAGCAGCATGAACAGCAGAGTCAGGAAAAATAATAGTATGTATTTCTTGGTGAAGGAGCTGTTTTGGTGGCATGTCAAAAGAGGGCAGGGAAGGCAGGGGAGAGATGAGGAACCTTCTCATTTATGTATCAGGATGAAAACAATCACACATTGTTCTTTAAAAACTTAAATGTTTACAAAGAACTTGAAACAATCAGATAGTGATTGTTATTTCTGTCTTGTTGTGGCAGGGATGGCCTGCTCCCTCTCTCACATTCAGGAGAGTAAACAGTGGTGACACAGAAATGGGAGGGGAAAGGATAGTAGGAAACCCAGCAATCGCTGCTCTAAAACTACCCAGCACTAAATTGTGGGTAGGCAGCAGCACTGGCCAGCCTCGTTCCCAGGCACAGTAAACATAGGCTTGGGAATAATCCTCTTCATTGACAAGCTTCCTCCCATCTCAAGGACTGGAGAAAAGCACATTGTCCATAGAATTGTTCTATGACTAAGAATAACAGATTATATTCACAGACTCAACAAACATAGATATTCTTTGGATTAAGCCATATCATTCAGAATAAAGCAATTGCTTAAAATAAAGAAATCTACACTCAAATCCAAGTGCTGTTCCACAAATCTAGCATTTGCTTCTGCTCAGCCTTAAATGCAACCCAGCTTCTATAAATGAAACTTAACAGAGACTTTAACAGCAATGCCAGTTGCTGGATGATTGCTTTAGTTTCCTTCTCTTCAAGGTAAAAATAAAAATGCTACTGTTAAATTTGCGTGGTTGCTATCCAGAGGCATTCTTGAAACCATACTAATCTATCAAGAAATACTGTACTGCTTTAGAAAAATTCAGCTTTCAGCATGCATATTTTCTCTTTCCTTGTCCTCTATTATATTCACAATGGTTAACAATTAGCAATCTTGTCCATAAATATTGTTCAGAATCTATAAAACTAAGCTAAGATTAATTAGTCATATTAATATGACTTATCCTAGATATCTAGAAGACCAGCAATGACCATATAAAAATGGTTCTTCTAATACAAAATTCATGCCATGGTATATGACCCATCTATACTATGTATTCATGTCCAAAATGCAAAAGAATGACTATAGCAATAATTGGGGTTTCAATCCAAAAGAATCCTTCTTTTCCATCAATTTATAAAAGACCGCAATAATTTCTCACAAAGCAA